GATATCGATGGCACGTACAATCTTCGTAAAAGTAAAGTAATTAAACATAAAAACACATACAAAGTAACAGTGACGGTATTTATAAGGGGCTGGGCAAACACGATTCGATATCGAAGCGACATCGTCGATATCGACGATATCGACACTACAGGGGAAGTTTTATAAAAGACAGTTTTCAAGTAACACAATGTTATAAACAAAATACTAGAATTCTAGATGGAAACCATAATTCTTTAAGCAATCCTGATTCGATATCGACACGATATCTTGGATATTAACAGTAAAAAAAACTTTTCAAAACAAAAAGTATTGTAATAAGCACACAAAAATAGAGAAATATTATAGTAAACTATAAAAAAGTAATGTGTCGATATCGTAACTACATCGTGTCATGGACATAACTCGCTTTTGAAGGGGGAAATAAATTATTTACCACAACAAATCTTAAAATAAACACGCATTGCCAAATACATTGTATACTTCATAGATTATTAAGTTTAATTTCTGGAACATGATGGACAAACTTACACAATTTTCTTTTTTAAAAAAATGGAAGGCATTGGGAAAAAAAAAATACCACACCAAAAAATTAAATTTGCATTGCAATCCAATTTTTCTCAGTGGAATTAAAGGTTTTTTTTTTTTTTTTTAATTTTTATATTAAAGAAGGTGGAATAATATTAGTTACAAAGTCAGTGATATAATACGGAGTCAAACAAGGTGTGAAATGGAAATCCGTATTGGGTGAGGCGCAGCCGAGTCCCAATACGGATTTCCATTTCACACCCTGTATGACTCCATATTAGGTCACTATAATTGACTGTGTTACGAATTTATCCCGCTGAAGACCCTTCTAAATATTAAAAAAAATCTTTACGCATATTATGAAAATTTCAAGGTTTAATCCAATATCAATCAACATAAAATATCGTTACAAGAAATTTAACTAAACTACCTACTGTCCTTTCTGACATAATTTATTTTATAAAATAAACTCTGCAATTGCAGAGTTTATACGATAAAATAAATTATGTCAGAAAGGACACTACGCAAAACGTTTCTTAGCCGCCATTTTATTTACAATAATAACGCCTCGAACGGAATCGTATGCCCGATTTTCATATTACTCCTCGACGGAGACGTAATACGGAAAATTTCAAGGCGTCATGTGATTAACTTTTATCCAATCAGTAATGTACAAATTTGTCTGAGGCGGGATAATTGTTCAACTGGAGATTGCCTGTGTAAAATGCAGATGAATTAGATATACAGGTATTTAAAATATCTGGTTTATGATAGACATAAAAATCTACTTACTGAATGTAATTGGAATGTATTTATAGTTCAAAAACATTTTTTCCTTAGTGCTAACAGAAAAGACAAGGAAACAAACACGTGCTGAAAGTGTTTCATTTGCAAGCTACATCAACATACATGTGTGTAACAGAAAATGTTCAAATAATTATTTGACTGCCGTTTTGAGAAAAGGACCCTTAAAGTCCGGCCCGATTTATAGAAAAAATACTTCTAACGACAAATAATTATTATTTGGTCCAGCATAGTTTTTTAACCTAATTCAAGTATGCTGATTCCGAAAAAATATGCTGGCCTTCATGAAAATGGCGTTAAAGAGGTCAAAATGGCGATTCAAAATGGCGGACATCCAATTTCTCTTAATATCGGTCAAAAAGGAGAAATAATGCAAAACGACTCAGAATTAAGCAATTTGAGTATTTTACGAAAATCGAGTGTATATGTGTAAACCTTGGTTGTATATTGAAATAAAACAACAGGTTTCAAAGTTCAGCAGGTTATATTATTTCAATTCCGATTTGTTTCACACATGGTAATTAAGACAATTATCATGATTATGGCCCTGCAAAATCAATGTACAAAACTTTGGCAATGTATACAATAATCAAGTGTTCATATTATAACACAAAACACTAATCATAAAATAGTCTCTCACTGATAAATACGTATCTGAACGCATTTACTCAATATATTTATAAACACTTTAATTTATAAAGTGATCTCCACTGAACCTATTTAACTATGAAAGTTTAGTGATAAAATAAAACAATTATTTACACTTATATTTACAAATAATTTTTAACAAACAACTTATCAAAATTATGGAATTTAGGCTCTCCAAAAATATCGGAAATTTATCTACATTTGTAGGTGCTGTGCTGTGCTAAAATAATTAAACATGCAAGTTTTTAACTACTGGAAAATGCAGAAATCTCATCCTGAAACAATTCTCAAACTTCAAAGTTAAAAACCAAACAAAAAGTCAAACATACCATGACTGAAAATCCAAAGTCCACTAAAGTAAACTAAATATAGACACAACTTGCTGGTACCACAGCACTGGACAAGAATGACCAACACCCCAAAAAGATTCAAAAACCTGTCTATGGTCACTAGTCAAGTGCTATGTTTACACCAATCGCTCAACAGAGCTTTTGGCGGGAAAATAATTAATTCAACAAAATGTAAAATAAATCAACACACACACTTTTAATAACTTTGTAATTTTATATATTTGTAAAACTTTTATTTATCTACCTATATTTCATAATTATAAACGCAGAAAAATAAAAACACAATTTTAAAGTTATATATACAAAATTCTTCTATGCTACATCCTCCCCCTGGCTATGAAATGATGTCCCATCATTTTACAATGGAATCAACCACTTTCTCAGGTTATAGCTTTGGTTCTTCCTGTTGCTCATGTGGAGTTTCTTCTGCTTTTCCTTCTTCTTGAGCTTCCTCTTCTTCTTGAGTGACCTCTGGTTCCTCATCTTGAGTTTCCTCTGGTTGTTGAGTCTGCACTGAATCTGGCTGTGGTGCCACATCACGTCTGACTACAACCATGTAAATCTCATCTTCAGTCTCACTATCACTACTTTGATATTTTCTCTCCTCTCTGTTTGAATTGTCCACCTTCTTAATCTGTGAACTCTTCTTCTCTGTTTTCCTTCTTACACTTGTGTCAGGCCTGACATCTGTAAGTTCTCTTCTTGTTCCTGTAGGAATTATCAAATTCCTGTGGACTGTCTTCTCTACACCATCTTCATCTGAAATTAGAAAAACTGGAATATCGGGGTTAGGTTGTGATTTTATAAAATAAATTTTCTCCTCAAACGTATCTGCTATTCTATGCTTTCCTTCATATTTCCTTCATCCAACCCTACCCAACCACCAAAATATCAAGAAGAGATGTGAACAATATCAGAATGAAGTCAATCATTGAGAAAACCTCATGAAAGTCAGATCTGAGTTTAGGGAAATGGGTTGTAACAATGCCAGTAAGTGTATCAAGAGTATTTCGAAATCTTAAATTTGAGTTAAGTATGTCTGCATACAAGATTTCAACGTTTAAAATCAAATGACATTCAGAGCCGGGGTAAAAGTTTGCAAGATTGACTGAAAGGAAGAGTGAAAGAAGTGGACACCAAATAACACATACCGGTAGTTCTGAAACGAAACATTTATTTAAATGCAACTTTAAATAAAAATAGATATGCACTTTGGGGGTTCTAAAAAGCCAGATATAAAACAAGAAAAGTCTCAGAAATCTTACAGAACTTACAAAACAGTGATCAGAAATTTATAAACATTAGTCTCTTAAGTTATTTAGGACAATGTTGGGAAAACACTTGGAGAATAACATTTTAGGATTTGTTGCCATCGTAATTGAGGTGGTGGATTTTGGATACTTCTGACTAAAAAAAATAATTTTGAATATATGCCGATTAAAATGATATATAAAATGTGTATGTAGCTTTTGTTGTTATTTATCTATCTGTCTTTAGATGTGTGACATATATTGTGAAACACCCTGTACTATAAAGTTTCTGCTGTTGTTTTTTGCGTTTGGTTTCTTGTTGGAATGTCCATGGCATATCTGGTATAGTGATCAGTAATGACCAGTAATGACTAAGATGTTACAAATCCCTCCTTTGCATGGTTCCAATGTCAAGTAATCTAAGCAAACTAATTCTAATGGATGAGATGATGTTATGCTGACCAACGGAGCTTTCTGGCATGTTGACTTTCTCCTTAGACATCTGTCACAGTTCTTTATCCAGTTTTCTGTATCAAAACTCATCCCTACCCAATAAAATCTGTCTCGCAATAGAGCTGTTGTCCTATCTTCTGCGGGATGACCCATGTTGTTGTGAAGTCCTATAAGTGCTGATTGAATAAGTTGTCTAGGCAGTACTAGTTGGTTTACGTTGTTTTCTTGAAGCTTTACAGTCCTGTATAGTACCCCTCTGATTAGTCTAAAGTTGTCAAAATTTTTCATCATTGTACTGTGGTCTTTTGTTCTGGGTATAGCGTGTCTAGGTGGTAAACGTTTGCTTCTATCCAAAATCTTAACAAAGTATCTTCATGTTGTAATTTCCTCAGTTCTCTAATTTCCATTTGAGCTAACGGTTGTCCTGGAAAGTCTGTTATTTCTATGATGTCCAATGGTTCCACAGATTCTGCCATGTTTACGATATGTGTACTTACCTGAGTTTTCCTGCATACTGCCTGTACTGCTTCTGAGGTGATGTTCCTATTGGCCAGTGGGTACCTGGACAATGCATCTGCATCCGTGTTGATCTTAACTGGCTTGTATGTTATATCGAAATCGCATCTAGCTTGGCTGTTGTCAGTATGTAAGTTAAGGGGTTGTTGTCAGTTTTTACCACAAATTTGTGTCCGTATAAATAATCGTAGAATTTCTCGGTGACTGCCCATTTCAAACATAAAAATTCCAGCTTCATTGCCGGGTAATTTTCTTCTGAATTTCCTAATGTTCTGCTTGCATAACTTATTACTCTTAATTTTCCTCCTTGTTCCTGACATAAAACTGCTCCTAAACCTTCTGTGCTGGCATCTATATGTAGTTCGAATTCTTTGTTGTAATCTGCATATGCTAGTATTTGGGCATGCGTCATATGATATTTCAGCTTATTGAATGCTATGTCATGTTCTGGCTTCTATCTCCAACCCTTTCTTTCTACTTTGATCCTCTTTTTCCTTTGGTTCTGTGATGGCATTACTTCTTGTAGCGGCTTGACGATTTTACTAAAGTCTTTGATGAAACGTCTATAAAATCCTGCAAATCCTACAATCTGGCGCACTTCATCTAGATGTGTAGGCACTGGCCACTCTAAAACCTTCTTGACTTTTTCAGGATCTGTTGAAATTCCACTAGCTGATACTATGAATCCTACATATTTCACTTGTTCTTTGAACAATTTGCATTTCTTGGGATTTAGCTTTAAGTTGCATTCTCTTAGTCTGCTGAAAATAATCTGGAGACGTTCTAGATGTTCCTCATAAGAATTTGAAAAAATGATCAAATCGTCCAAATAAATAACGCAAATCTACATGTTTAAATCTCCAAGACATCCTTCCATGAGACGTTGATAGGTCGCGGGATGTTTGAAAGGCCAAAAGGTAAACGGTTAAATTCATAAAATCCAATGGGTCCTACTGTAAAAGCTGTCCTATGTTTGTGTGATTCCTCAATTTCGATTTGGTGATATCCCGATTTCATATCTAAAGCAATAAAGTATTTTGATCCAGAAAGTATGTCTAAAATGTCCTCAATCCTCGGTAATGCGTAGGAGTCCTTGATGGTTCTCTTGTTCAGCATCCTGTAGTCCACGCACATTCTAATGCTGCCATCTTTTTTCTTCACCAGTACCACGTTAGATGCAAAGGGTGACTTGGATTTTCTAATGATCCCTGCTGATAGTAACTGTTCTATATGTGTTCTTACTTCATCAATCATAGACAGGGGGATCCTTCTATATCTTTGCTTGAATGGGCTCTCATCTGATAAATTGATCTGGTTTTTCACATCTGTAAAATGTCCAATGTCTGTATCTCCTTTGGAAAATATGTCATTATATTCTCTCAATAATCTCCATAGTTGATCTGTCTGTTTCTTAGATAATAATAATGTCTCTAATGACACACTTCTCAAATGCTCTGGACCTATATTTTGGTGATGTTCTTCATCTGGCAAACAGTAACTGTTGCTAAACTGTACCGGTTGAATTTCACATAATACTGATCTAGGCTGGACTGAAACCATTCTTGTTGTCACATTCGAGATATAGATGTCCACTTCCTTGATGTTCATGGAATAATTAAAACAAGTTGGGGTTATATCCAAATCCTTTGGTAGACATGATTTTTCTGTATGTTCAAATATTGCAGATGTTGTTGGGTGTTGTACCATACTCTTACGATCAATATATCCCTTTATACAGATGTTACTATTGGGCTTTATGATGATCTTATTCTTTTCTGCCGATCTTACTAATCCTAATCTGTTGTTTGTTTTCCTCAGAATTTTCTCCTGAATGATCATCGATCTGAACGCCAAGTACCACGGAGTGAACAATGCTGCATTTTGTAAGAATCTCTCCCCATAGTCCATTTTGCAGTTGTCCATCAGATGCCTCAAAATGTTCGTTCCAATAAGAATGGGAGTTTTCTGACTATAAGCAGTTGTTGGTACTATAAGAAAAATACTGGTTTGAGAACTTCTAATGGGAATACCATATGATTCAAAATCCACTTCAATAAAACCTAAGTATGGTAAATTCTCTCCATTGGCACATTCTATTTGCAGCTCCTCAAATGACTGTAAAACTCTATGGCTAAGATTCTCTCTATAGAATGTTTCGCTAATGGTATTCACACCACTGCCAGTATCTACTAAAGCCTTAGCTTGTATCCCATCTACTTTCGCTTCTGCCTCATTACTGCTTCCTACTATCTCTACTGGTGGGCTAGTCCTCTTATCACCTAGTACCCGCCCCTGGTAAAAGGTGGTCTCTCGTTTAAATGTTTCATATGATCTAACTTCACATTGCACTGCCATTGATAATGTCCATACTGTTTACATCTGAAACATTGAGGTCCGTTGTTGTTAACTCCTGACTGGAATCCTCTTCCCCTACCATAATTCGAACTAAAAGGAAATCTTGGTGAAGGGTTATAATTTTGTCTAAACCTTGAACGACCTCTTCCTGATTGAACGTAGGGATTGGTCCTCATAATTGTTGTTGTATGTTGTTCTTTGAAATTTGTAATCTCCTTTCCCATGTCATTCATTTTTAGTGACATATCCTGAATCAAGGTTTTTAATTCTGTTATGTCTGACTCCTGTTGACTTTTTTCAGAAACTTGTTGTGTCAAATTTGTTGTTTTTTTTGTTTCCTTTGTATCCTTTTCTGTTACTACATGTTCTTTTTCTATTTTTTTTTAATTCCACTCTTAATTTGTCGAAGTCATTGATCATTTCAAACTTAAATCCAGAGATATCTTTTAAATCCTGTCTTAGGCCTGCCCAAAATTTTGATCTTAACATCTCCTTTGAGTTATAAATTGTGATAAGGTCCTGTTCTATGATTCTGTTTAATATATCTTCAAGCCTACATGACCAAGATGTGATATCCTCCTTTTCGCCTTGTTAAGCACTGTAAAATTTGGTTAATAATTCTTCTTTGGCGTCTACTGTCCCATACACACTTTCAAATTTTTCCAGTACAGCACAAATACTTATACCTAGACCCAATTGCATCAGTATTCTTCTAGCCTCACCTCTGGCAGATCTCTTAATGGCTTGCATAATAGTGTCCTCTTTGTATGTTTTCTCAAACAATAAACTCTTCACCTCATAACGCCATTGTTCATAATCTGCCTCTCCTTTTGTTGCACTTTCTCCATAAAAAATTGACAATCTTGGCATGCTTGTGTGGCTTGACTGCACAATGGTAGTTGAAATATCAGGTTTTGTATCTGGCTTGGCTGATGCTGAAAAATCCTCTATCCATTTTTGAAGATCAGCTGATGTTTCATACTTTGGATTCAAGCCAATATCTTTAAAAGCTTGTATAAGCTTTTTCTCTTCTTCGGACGCCATGATCAATGTTAAGGAAAAACACGACAAAACCGAACGCAAAAAAGTGCACTTATGTTCCACGACTGAGCGGTTTCCTTTACACACACACTCTCACACTATGAATCAATGATCAGTACAATAACATATAACTGTATAGCTTAAAAAATGGTGACCTATTGACGACAAAGGTCAAATGATCAACATAGCACTTTGATCAGAAAATGCAAGTTTGTCATACACTCTCAATCTAATCAATCTAAAATTTCTAACACAGTACCCAATCTATTGAGTAGTATTACTGATAATACCCTTTGGACAAGTACCCTGTAGACAACAGACAAACTTCAATCAGTATGCGTGTAAGTATCTAGGTCATTGTCTACAATGTCAACTCAAAATACCCACAATTCTTCAATACACTTACTGGACGGCTTATAAGAGAACTGTACAACAGAATAGACACCTGTGAAAACATTGCTTTGTGACTGTAGATCTATAAATACTACAACTTACCGGTTAGTGATACCATGCATTGTTAGTAGTGCCATGCAATTACCTACTGATTGTCTTTCTTAATATTATTTCTTAATGTTTTAAAAAATGTTTAAGTATTTTAATTCGTTTAGCTTATCGTTACTTTACTTGATGCTGTTAACTTTGGTTTCACTTTCACTTAAGTGGAGACACAACACAATTTAGACTCACAAAAACACACAGAAAAGAAATATAAATCCAAAATGAAAAGAAAATAATAGAGATGAAAATAAATAAATCCAATAAATCCAAATAGAAATGAATTAAAGTCACAAAATGAAAACACACTCGGTAATCACAGTTGACACCACACTGTTTACATCCAGCAACACATGTTTCCGGTTCGCAGTTGTAGGTGAAGTCGTACACAAAATATTCGACAAGGCAACGGCTATGTTCGTTCTTCGGTGTAAATCGAAACACGTCACTGGTAGGAAATTTTCAAGTTGCCTGGGTCTATATATATAATAACCGGAAATCCAAATGGAAATGTTGTTGATTATAAATCTATAAAGTTTGGATCCATCTCTATGCTTACTTTCACGTCAGGAAGTGACTATTTCCCGGGGTTTTCCATTCTTAAATTAGGACCCAACAACAGGTACGCGTCACTCAGGTGTAACATGAATAGTTCTCACCGCACAAAACACTGTGTAAATCCCGTGAGTAAAAATAATGGAATAAAGAACACAAACTAGTTCTGCACAAATTCGATCACAAACTAGGGGGCTCCAAATGTAAACCTTGGTTGTATATTGAAATTAAACAACAGTTCAGCAGGTTATATTATTTCAATTCCGATTTGTTTCACACATAGTAATTAAGACAATTATCATGATTATGGCCCTGCAAAATCAATGTACAAAACTTCAGCAATGTATACAATAATCAAGTGTTCATATTATAATACAAAACACTAATCATAAAATAGTCCCTCACCGATAAAACATATCTAAACGCATTTATTCAATATAATTATAAACACTTTAATTTATAAATGATCTCCACTGAACCTATTTAACTATGAAAGTTTAGTGATAAAATAAAACAATTATTTAAACTTATATTTACAAATAATTTTTAACAAACAACTTACCAAAATTATGGAATGTAGGCTCTCCCAAAATATCGGAAATTTATCTACATTTGTAGGTGCTGTGCTGTGCTAAAATAATTAAACATGCAAGTTTTTAACTACTGGAAAATGCAGAAATCTCATCCTGAAACAATTCTCAAACTTCAAAGTTAAAAACCAAACAAAAAGTCAAACATACCATGACTGAAAATCCAAAGTCCACTAAAGTAAACTAAATATAGACACAACCTGCTGGTACCACAGCACTAGACAAGAATGACCAACACCCCAAAAAGGTTAAAAAAAACTGTCTATGGTCACTAGTCATGTGATATGTCCACACCAATCGTTCAACAGAATTTTGGCGGGAAAATAATTAATTCAACAAAATGTAAAATAAATCAACACAGACACTTTTAATAACTTTGTAATTTTATATATTTGTAAAACTTTTATTTATCTACCTATATTTCATAATTATAAACGCAGAAAAATAAAAACACAATTTTAAAGTTATATATACAAAATTCTGCTATGCTACATATGATGTCATTTTGAATCACCATTTTGAGCTAATTAACTCATTTCAAATTTAAACGACTAAATTTTCCGAATTAAAGTGATAATATTAGTGATCAATTGTCAATTTACATAGTTATTCTATGCTCTGTTAGATATTCAAAAATCCTTTCTCCTATTTAAACGACATTAAGAAATAAGTTGGAGAATATCCGCCATTTTGAATCGCCATTTTGACTTTTAATTTACAGCTGCACCATCATTCTACTGAGATGTAGAGGAATAAAATACAAATCTGCAGTGTATGAAATTTTGCAATTGTAAAATTCCGAACAAAGCAGATTATAGAAGCAATAGACAAATAAATCAGAGAAAATTCGAATTAGGTGTAGAAACGACTAAATTTTCTGAGTTAAACTAATTATATTAGCATTCTATTATTATTTTTACACTTGTATTATACCCAGTGAGATATTCACACATTAAATTTCCTTTTCTAACGATATTGAGAGAAAATTAGAAAAGTGTGATGTCCGCCATTTTGAATCGCCATTTTGACCTCTAACGCCATTTTCATGAAGGCCAGCATATTTTTTCGGAATCAGCATACTTAAATTAGTCTTTGAAAACTATGCTGGACCAATTAATAATTATTTGCCGTTAGAAGTTATTTCTAGCCTTCTTTTTAAAAATCAGGACCAGGCTATTATCGTTTAACGTCATTATGCTCAGAAAACGATGTCAACGGTATTGTAAACACGGAAGTAATTTTTGTCGACAGCGTATCGTGAACTAAAAAAAATATTTGATTTCAAAGTGAACAAAAATTTGAGATTTGAGGTGGACATTTTTGAATAGGTATGTAATATGATACTAAAATTTATTACGTGAATTTATTCATAATTCTGTTTAAGTATTCAACTTGGCGTTGATATACGCGACATTGGACATGCACATTGCTAGGAACATCGATTAAAACGATGTCTACGCATGACTACATTTAAGATGCTGCATATTTGTTTTTGAGCAATTAACTAATGCTTAAATTTGAATTCATGTTAAGAAGTCTTAATATTTAAAGGTATATCCCATGCACACGTACACTTTTTCTCAGAGAGAGAGAAAAAAGAGCAATAGATCAATGCATTTATACTATTACCCGTTCTTTTACACTTTTCTTTTTTTTCTGATTAATTATATACCATTATTTAAAATGTATTCAGCCATTTTAATTTTAATCCATATTTAATCATACTGATGTACCCCGATAGCCAGCCCACGGTGAACGGTCGATTTTAAAATGTGTGTAAGAAGGATATGGAAATAACGAACAGTATTCAATCTCAATGTCCATTAAACAATATACAAAATAAGAGCAGAGCAAACACGGACCTCCGAAACATCAGAGGTGGGATAAGGTGCCATGGAGGAGTGAGCATCCCCTGCCGACCGGTCACACCCGCCGTGTGCTCGTTGTCATAATCAGGAAATAACGGAAAAATCCGTCGTCAATTCAGTGTATAAATAATGGACTAACAATTGGTATGAAAAACGTCAGTCAGCATTTCATTCAATGATAAATTGTATTTGCTGACAAGGTCATTGTATCAACCATAGAATTTACGAAATGATGACTTTAAACGAGACTGTTGATATTCTTGTTTCATCAACTTGCTTGTCAATAATTTACCTCTTTTGAGAAATTGTTCATACGTAGAGCATGCTCTTGCGTATCGAATCAACTGAGATATATATATTCCGTATGCAGGTGATGAGGGTATATTGCTGCATAAGTAAGGGAAGTTGACGATAGAAAAGTTAAAGTCATCACGTTCATCATATAGCTTGG